GCTATTATAAAAAAGACAAAAATTAACAAGCTTTGGTGAAGATGTGTAGAAAAGAGAACCCTCATACACTATTGGTGGGAATGTAAATCGGTGCAGCCACTACGGAAAACAGTATAGAGGTTCCTCAAAAAATTAAAAATAGAATTACCATATGATCCAGCAACTCCACTTCTGGGTATTTATCCAAAGAAAATGAAAAGACTAACTCAAAAAGACATATGCACCCTATGCTCACTGCAGCATTATTTACAATAGTCAAGATATGGAAGCAACCCAAGTGTCCACAGATAGATATATGGATAAAGATGTCGGGGGAGGGGTGTGTGTGTGCCACACATGGATATTTCTCAGCCATAAAAAAGAATGAGATCTTGCCATTTGTGACAACAAGGGGGGACCTAGAGTGTATTTTGCTAAGTGAAATAAGTCAGAAATACAAATACTGTATGATTTCACTATATGTGGGCTCTAAAAAAACAAAACAAAACAAATGAACACACAAAATGGAAACAAACTCCACAGATAGATGAAACAAACTGGTGGTTACCAGAGTTGGGGGCAAGTTAGGGAGTGGGTGAAATAGGCAAAGGAGATTAAGAGGTACAAACTTCCAGTTATAAAATCAGTAAGTCATGGGGATGTAATGTAGAGCATAGGGAATATAGCCAATAATATTGTAATAACTTTGTATGGTAACAGATGGTAATTACACTTATCATGGTGATCATTTTGTAATGTATTTAAATATCAAATTGGGCCAGCCTGGTGGCACAGGGCGATTAAGTGCGCACGTTCCACTTCGGGAGCCCAGGGTTCACTGGTTCAGATTCCGAGTGCAGACATGGCACCGCTTGGCAAGCCGTGCTGTGGCAGGCGTCCCACATATAAAGTAGAGGAAGATGGGCACGGATGTTAGCTCAGGGCCAGCCTTCCTCAGCAAAAAGAGGAGGATTGGCAGCAGTTAGCTCAGGGCTAATCTTCCTCAAAAAAAATAAATAAAATCACTGTGATGTACACTTGAATAGAATATTGTATGTCAATTATACTTCAATTAAAAAAACTTGTTTTCAATGTTTTTAGAAAGCTTCATCCTTTAATATTATCGCTTTCTTATTTATTTATTTATTTTTTACAAACAATCACTAGAAGTTCTGCACTAACTTGAGATTAAAATCTATCTGTTTTTAAAGGAGCCAAGAGATAGAGAAGATGCACACTTTGTTGTCTGGAACATTCATTTTCAAGGAACGGCTGAAAGCTTAAGGCTGTTAGAAATAGTCCATTACCTCCTAATTTACACTTCCTAATTCATTTCTGCCCCTAAATCAGTCTTTACCACATGCTATGAATAAGTACCTTAACATTTAATAAAGAAATAACTGAATAATAGAAATATACAATTTTGATTAACTATCTAAATAAGCTACATGAAAAGTGCAGAACTGTAATTATATTTTAAGGAAGTTTAAATATCCATTATTTTTAGAAAATGAAAAAATCAGAAATTTTAAATAAGAGTAGTCTGAATAAGTGAACAGTAAATCACAGGGTAGTAACTGAAATACTGAAAGGTAGTTTTATTAACTTGAAAGTTACTTTTCCTAAGTAACTACAATCTATGAATATATGTAAATATGTGTCACATTTACTTGGATGGCTTATATGCCTAAATATTAGCCATTTATAACAGTGTATTTTAAGAGTGTGATTTACGTTTTCTTACATTTAGCTGTTTTACTTATTGCAGATATTGAATTAAGTCCAAATTCATGAGATTCTAGGGTAATTATAAAGAATAAGAAGTTCTTTGAAAACAAAGATAACCTAATAATGCCAGATAATATTCCTAAAAATAATTTTATAATATTCTTGTTTAGATAGGTACACTACAATTTACTGCAGAACCATTACCTTAGGAATAATTTCTGGATAATTCTAAACAAATTCCCATCAAGTACTGAATAACAACACGGTGTTGCATTCTATTTTTTAAAAAGTTCACTAAAACTAATAACCAAAATTATGTAAGGGCTATGTTAAAGAAACTTCGTATGAAAAAGCAACTTGTAATTAGGAAGCCATGTGATATCTCAAAATCAATACTTTAACAGTTCATAAATATACATGAAATAATTACAACATTGACATTTGTATTAAATCACATCTTATGAAAATCTTAGAAACTGTGATTAGGGTGAAATTTAAATAGAGTATATCTTATCACTCTGTTCCATCATTGTTAGTTTGCTACCCACCTCCTCCAAGTAAGCTGTAAACTTTACAGAGGCATTGACTATATCTCATAACCACAGTGACCAGTAGAGTACCTGGCACTTAGCAGGGACTCAAATATTTATATATTAAAACCAAATCATTTCAGGGAAAAAACTAAAAATTTCAAAGTAATTCAGATCTTCCAAAGATGTCTAGTTCCTAGATTGTCCTCAGATTTTCATCCACTGATTTAAAATGTTCTGACTCTAATAGTGAAGGATGGTTTTTCTTGGATTTTGGAATTTGAAATATTGACTTTTTTCCTATAAAATGGCCTTAAACATACAAATGCTCATATATTCATATTCATATTAAAAACTGAGAAAAGATGGAAAATTTAAAAGCTTGTTACAAACATCTATATCAATTGAAGATAATGAAATTTTACTAGATTACTCCCTATCACTTCAAATAAATTGGATTTTATTTTCTAAAACTTTCTCTATAGTCTACCAAAAGAACCTCTGGGAGATACAACACCCATTAAAGCCTGGATCTAAGGACTAGAAAGATTAAATGGCTTGTTCAGTATCACAGAGAAAATAATTTTTTGTATTTTTGTTTGTTTGGGGTTTTTTGGGAATATTAGCCCTGAGCTAGCATCTGCCGCCAATCCTTCTCTTTTTTGCTGAGGAAAATTGGCCCTGAGCTAACATCTGTGCCCATCTTCCTCCACTTTATACATGGGACACCTGCCACAGCATGGCTTGATAAGTGGTACATATGCCCACGCCTGGGATACAGACCAGCAAATCTCAGGCCACCAAAGCAGTGTGCAAACTTAACCACTACACCATCAGGCCGGCCCCAAGAAAATAATTTTTAAAGTTTTCATGATTTTGTGACTAGTGACTATGGTGGTGAAAATATCTGCAAACAACTAATAATAAATCAAAATGTATTCAACAACAACCCCAGGAATAAGTCATATTACACTAATTTCTGCCTTTTCTAGAAAAAAATTTATTGTTTGCAATGTAATCCCTGAGTGGGAATAAAAAAATTACTTTCTTTATGCAGCAAAAAGATAACAATAGAAGATGATAATGCAACTGAAGCATACTCACACAAAGAAAATCGAACAATGTGAAATAGTAGAAATAGCATGGAAGTAGGAATAGGGAAAGGTTCTCATCTCATATCTGCTAACATCTAGCTGTTTGATCATAGGCAAGTTACTTAACTTTTCTGGACCTTGATTTTTCTCATTGTGAAATGAAGAGGTTACTCTTAAGTCTAAAGCATCTATTTCCAAAATTGTTCTAGAAAACACTTTCTATGAGATGTCAGTAGATAATTTGGTGGAGTAAGGGGCGGATAAAAAGGTCTAATAAATTTTGGACATGCTGCATACTACCAAGAAATTCATGCTATCAACACAGAATTATGGCCAAGGTCACCCAGTGTGGGGGGCAGCCTCTAAGATATTTCCCAATGTTCTCTACCTTCTGACACTCATAGTCTTCACAATCCCCTCCCCTTGAGTGTAGGCTGGATTTATTAACTCATTTATAATGAACAGAATTTGGCAGGAGTGATGAGATACCGCTCCTGAGATTAGGTTATAAAAAGACTGTGGTTTCTACCTTGGGTATCTGCTCTCAGCTGACATGTTGTGAGGCAGCCCTGTGGGGAGACCCATGTAAGTGAGCTTGAAAGCAGATATTCTGAGGCCTGTCAATACCCATGTGAGTGAGCTTGGAAGTAAATCTTCCCCTAGTCAAGCCTTCAGATGAGACCGCAAGCCCTGGCTGACACCTTGACTGCAATCTTGTGAGAGACCTTGAGCTAGAACCACCCAGCTAAGTTGCTCCCCGATTCCAGACTCACCTAAATGAGGTGATAATAAAGGTTTGTTGTTTTCAGCTGTTATGGTTTAGGTTAATTTATTACACAGCAATAGATAACTAATACACCCAAACACCTGTACACTTTTTTTTTGCCATTGCTACATCCCTTGAAACATTCCCAAGAATGTTTTACAAACGAGGAACATCAGCAAAGTATTAATATAGCTAATCCAATAGTTAATATAATCCCCAATGTTTAGCTCTGGTGAAGCTGGATCAGAACATTTAACTTAGATCCAAGGCCTAAGTGAGGCCTTCATAATGCGTCCATGCCAAAATCCAATTTACAAGGCCACACCATACAGAAATCTTTACTAGCAAGCTTAGGGTAAGAAAGAGAGCTTAACACTATGATTGGACCTGCTAAGACCTAAGTCTTTCCTGGTCTTACTTAAAATATGTACACTATGCATGAATGTCTGACCTTTGAGCAGATAGAGACGCTTTTTGCTAGTGAACATGGTCCAGTCAACATCTAGACTCTGAAAAATCAGATTACTTCCACCTGAGATGACTAAAAAAGGAGGTGGGTAGAAAGGCTTAACTGCTCATTTCTCTATTTCATAACTAAAGTGCTCTCTACCAAGAAGTCCCATGGTCAAGTCAACTAGGGAAATACTGCCTAATATATCATCCTCTTGGAGATGCTATATGCACATTACATGCTAAAGATTCTGAGAAGTGCTTCAGTAAAGACAGCTGTTTATTTAACACAACATTTCTCCAATATCTAACAACTAAACCTTTTCCCTACAAACACTCCTTAAAATTTTGTGGAAAGTTAACTTTAGAGAATCTCTAAAGCCTTGTTTATTTCCTAAATAAAATGTTCTGTGATTATACTTTAACTATTTAAAAAACTTCTGACAATCTTACCTTGCCAAGTTGCTGTAGAAATTTCAAGTGTCTCTCTTCAAACTGCGTAGGGTCTCGGTCTTCGAAAGCACCAGAAAACCCTAGGGCACCTATCCTCATATTTGGTAACATGTCATTTTCTGTTAACAGCTCATAATCTAGAGAAATAACGAATATTACCACCATAAGCTGGCAAATACATTCTCTGGGTTAGACTGATATATATTCAAGCTAACCAAAATAATCAGAATGAATTAGAAATACTACATACAAACTGACACAGGGAAAATCAAATAGTTTAGATTATATTAATAAAAGTTTTTAATTATTACTCACAATCTGACAGGCTTCCAAAAAAGATTTTTGCAAAGAATAAACGATTTCTTTCCAAAATAGGTATTTTTAGTATTTATAAAGTAAGATTATATTCTGGCTTATTGTAATGAGAATGGCAAGTAGTATTCGAAAAGGAAATACCTATATACATACATATTTAGTTACATTTTTAAAGAAGAGAACAAACAAAACCAAATCTACTTTATGTTTAGAAAATCAATTAATTATAAAATATATGAGAACTAGTTAAAAAAAACAAAGAATTGTTTTTAAAAAGTCAAATAAAGCCAAATAAACTTCTATACTATACTGCTCTGGCAAACTAAAATTAGGTTATTGAAGGAGAAAAAGCCTTTTTTAAAAATAGAAAGACTGCTCAATCAAGGAGATTAGAATACTTATAAAGTAGGAAAAGTCATATGAACATAAGAAATTAAGAGGATCTAAAAGACATCAAGGAACTTCTTGGAAGGGATTACAAAATTAGTAAAGATTTGTTAAATACAACAAAGACAGAAAGCTGGAGAATCAATAAGATTGCTACATCAATACATACCTGGAGTAAACAAACTATTAAGATCACGTATGATGGCTCTGAAAGAAGGTCTAAAATCTGGTTCGTAATCCATACAACTATTGATAAGATTTGCTAATTCTGTCCACTTTGGTGCAGGAAGCTGGTGCCTATCTTCATAAAACTGTAGCTTCTATAATTAAAGAACCCACATTTAGAATAAATTGTATAATGCTATATCAACCTTCTTTTTAACATTAGATGGGTTAAAAAATATCAAAATCATGTGAAAGAAATATGAAAGATCACAGATATAGAGTAATCCCAACTTCATAGTCCATATAAACTCACTCTTTGAGAATCCAAAGCACTCAGAGGCTTATCTCCTCCACTGCAAATTTCCCACAAAGTGGTACCAAAACTCCATTTGTCTGTTGCCAAGTTTAGATTTTTAGGATTTTCAATGCATTCAGGTGGTACCCATGGTATTCTCTCCTGAAGAACTTTTAAATGATAGGAAAAAAATATGGTTAAAAAGTTTCCACAAGTAAACAATTCTTCAATATGCAAATAATTTTCAAACTGATTTGAATACTCAGGTCTTTTTTAATTTGTTTGGGGGGGGGCTGTGCACATAGCATGTACACACGCTTAAGAGCTAAAAGGGAACTTTGATATCATCTAATTCACTATCTCAGCTTTAACAATGAAAACATTGAGAACCATAAAAAGTGAATAATTTACTCAAAGTCACACAATTTATGTTAGCAGCATGGAGAGAATTAGAATCCCGTACAATGAATCCTGGATCAACTAAACTTCTTTCCATTAAACCATAGTGTCTTAACTAGTATCCCACTCTCTTTACCCTTTCCTCTTAGCTCTAAATTCAATAAAAAAATTATTCCGTAAGATTTGTCCTAAAATTGCCTCTTGATTTTTTTTTTTTTTGTATTTCTTTACAATGTGTAAGTAGTATACGTAACGTCAACATCATTCCCAGCTATTCTAATGATTAATAGCAGTGATGATTCTAACTTGTAGATGAAAAACCAAGGACCAATAGGCAGATGAATGACTAAATTATATCAAGATATTCTGGGTACATAATTGATACAGATAGGTTTTCTTCAGATCATGGAAATTCCCAAGTAAAGTTCTGTGGTCTTTGGCCCCATCAGAAAAATGATATTCAAAGGAGGGAGTACTTTAACTGACATTCTGGTATAGATAGGTAGATAGGTAGATAGATAGGTAGGTAGGTAGATAAGAATGAAGGATAATCTGTTGCATCTTTTGGTATATTTTGATAAAGCAATGTGAATATTTTTGCAATAAAATTAAGAGATTAAAAAGTACAGGTTCCTTTCTCCTTCACCATATGAATATATTCTCTCCTTCTTTACCTCCCATTCCAAGGTGTAAAATTTCCCTTAGTAGCAGATCTAAGATTCTATAACATTTTCTGCCCCATTATCTCTGTCTTCACTATCAGATAAGCCATCAAGTTTAAGCACTATTGGCTCAAATAGGATATCATGCATCAATGCACAAACACTGATCAATTTAGATTCTAAATTTAGAAGATTCAATTAGAGAAATTAGCTAAGATAATGACATACAATTACAACATTATTTGGACCAGAAAAACTCCTCTTAACTATTTGACTGAAATTTTTACTTTAACTAACTGTGTTAAATAGGATAACAAACACAAAAGAAAGTATTTTTTTTTAAGTTTTAAAGTATCTGAATTACAATTAAACTAAATAAGATCTCAAACTAGATAATGTATCTTCTCAAATCTTTAGTGACTAAAGGAAAGAAAAATTCAGAAAATTTACTTGTGGCTCAAAGAATATTAGAAAACTTCTCATTAAAAAATGGATAAAATCTGACCCTCCACACATAAGGATTAAAACTCTTTTAGTCGATACTAACAAAATTCTAAGAAAGGAGAAATGGAAAGAGATCGGGATGTGACTATAACTTAATTTAGATTACTAAAAATGGTAGCTAAATTTTATTATTAACAAAGAACATGTCAATAAAACAGAGTTTGAGAAAAATTAGAATGCTTTTTATACTACTCTTCAAGTAAAGCTTAATAAAGTTAAATGCAATCTCTGTAGAACTTACTGTCCTTTGGCAAAACTGTAATACTAATGCCAGGATCACTAAGTTTGATGAAAGGAGGATTTCCTGTCTTCCTGTCTTCTTCTCTGGTAAGTAGAATATTTTTGGCACACACATTCCCATGAATAAGGGTTTTTTCTTCCTATTAAAGTTAAATGCACATACATTCAAATACCAATCCACAAATATTTGAGTACTTAATATCTCCAAGGCCCAAAAACGGACTTAAGAAAAATAAGTAAGACAGTATTAACTAATAAACATTAATTTGGAGGAATGCTTTGAGATAATAAAAGGAAATTTTATGGCAGCACTGTGCTGTTTTACATTTTAAATGACATAATAATCTATACACATGATGAAACCAATACATTCAATCTACCCAATGCCACTTCACTTTCTAAAGCTGAGATTTTAAATAGTATGTATTTCTAGATGGTAAGTGACAATAAGAAATACTGTTTCTGTTCAGCAGCAACATTTAGGTGCATGCTAAGGGGTTTGATCACTTGGCTGGCCCTCTGATATTGTTTCTCTAGTAATATTGCTTTCGTATTAGACAATGTCCAATTACCCAAAAATGAAGTATTTTCTGCAGGGATTTTCTGCTATCCATAGTTAGCAGAACATGGTTCCGCATAATTTTTGTTAAATTCTCTAAACCCAAGTGACACAAACTACACACTGTCCATCAGCAGTTCTAAGAGATTGATGGGATGACAAAACTATTTCTTTCAAAAGTGATTTTACGTAAATAAACATATGCCTAAAATAGTCCCTTTCATCAACTAACAGATTATTTTAAATGACTCAACATCCATTTACAGATTTATTTCTTGTTCTCAGCCAAGATCCTTTCTACATTACATTGTTTCATAAGATAAAACAATAATTTTGATAAAAGAATAAACTAATTACTTACTAGAAAATGCATGGCCCATGCCAACTGTTTAGCTACTTCAAGTTTCCATAATATATTTATAGAATTTTTATTCTTTTTCAGATATGTATCTAGTGATCCAAATTTTACAAACTCCTGAACCAGAATATCTGCATTAAAATATAACAATAATAAGGTTCAAGTACAAATACAATACATAATTTTAAACTTTTATAAATACTTTCATAGTTATACGTAGGTATTATAGGTAGAGATTAAAATACATAAAATTCACTAATTTTAAAAAACCTAACAGCTATATACATTGGGTTTTGGGGTTTTAGTTTATTCACAACAGCCAGAAGTAAGAGTCTAAACAATTATATATATAGAATATTATATATAATTATATATATAATAAATAATCGTTATATAGCATGTTATAACATTATTATATATTACATATATTGTATTATAAACACACACACACACTATATACTACTACTCCAGTACACCTTTATGTTTTAGTACTGAATTATGGTGGCTTTTTTGAAATAAATGAAAATTTCACACACAGTTAATTTCTCTTCCACAAAACTATTTAGATATTCAAAACTTGCTGAACTTCTTCCTCACACAAAACTAACAGCAATGACTATTCTATTGTAGGCATAAAAGAAAATTTGAGTTAGAACTCCATTCATCCTTTTAATTTATGCTACAAAAATGAGTGTTTTGCATTGCTTTAACTTAAAAACAATTTTTTAAAAACACTATCAAAATATATTTTGCCAGAGAAACAAGTGTTTGCTTCTAAAATCAGTCCTGACTGCCTTTAAGACACACAGAAAATTTCCCAACCCTGTTAGTATCGACCAAGTTCTCGAAAGTCAAGACTATTTCTACATAAAGGCACATTATATAATAGAGTAATTAACTGGGGTTAGGGTTTATTTATAGTCATTTAGTAATAATTTATAATGGAGTAAGCTCAGGTTCTCGATTTTAAATCTGAATTTATTGAAATTATTTTGTTTTTTCTAAAGGATAAATGGTAGGTTATATAAATGAGGGAAAAAAGGATTTTGGTGGGTTTTTTTGCTGGGAAAGATTCACCCTAAGCTAACAACTGCTGCCAATCTTTCTTTCTTTTTTCCCCCCTCCCCAAAGCCCCAGTGCATGGTTGTATATCCTAGTTCTAAGTCCTTCTAGTTCTTCTATGTGAGCCGCCACCACAGCATGGCAACTGACAGACGGGTGGGGTGGTTCCGCAACAGGGAAATGAACCTGGGTCACCAAAGTGGTGAGAGTGCCAAACTTTAACCATTAGGCAATCAGGGCTGGCTTGGATTTTGTTTTTAAATTAAAAAATGGACCCATATCCGAAATGCAAATCAAAACTACACTAAGATACACCTTACACCCATTAGAATGACAAAAATATCTAAAACTAACAGTAACAAATGTTGGAGAGGTTGTGGAGAAAAAGGAACCCTCATACACTGCTGGTGGGAATGCAAACTGGTGCAGTCACTATGGAAAACAGTATGGAGATTCCTCAAAAAATTAAAAATAGAACTACCATACGATCCAGCTATTCCACTACTGGGTATCTATCCAAAGAGCTTGAAGTCAGCAATTCCAAAAGTCCTATGCACCCCAATGTTTACTGCAGCATTATTTACAACAGCCAAGACGTGGAAGCAACCTAAGTGCCCATCAACAGATGAATGGATAAAGAAGATGTGGTATATATATACAATGGAATACTACTCAGCTATGAAACAGAACAAAATCATTCCATTTGCAATAACATGGATAGACCTTGAGGGAATTATGTTAAGTGAAATAAGCCAGTTAGAGACGGATAATCTCTGTATGACTCCACTCATATGAGGAATCTAAAAATGTGGACAAAGAGAACAGATTAGCAGCTACCGGGGAAAGGTGGGGTGGGGGGGTGGGCACAAAGGGTGAAGTGGTGCACCTACAACACAACTGACAAACATTAATGTACAACTGAAATTTCACAAGATTGTAACCTATCATTAACTCAATAAAAAAAAACATGGACCCATATCCAACATTATCCTGATACCAAAACCAGACAAGGACAGCACCAAAAGGAAAACTACAGGCCAATATCACTGATGCACACTGAAGCAAAAATCCTCAACAAAATATTAGCAAATTGAATACAATAATATTAAAAGGATGATACACATGATCAAGTGGGCTTTATTCCAGGATGCAAGGATGATTCAACATCCACAAATCAATCAATGCGCTACACCACTTTACAAAATGAAGAATTCACATGATCATCTCAATTGATACAGAGAAAGCATTCGACAAGATACAGCATCCATTTATAATAAAAACTCTGAATGGGTACAGAAGGAAAAGACCTCAACATAATAAAGGCTGTATATGACAAAGCCACAGCTAACATCATACTCAATGGAGAGAAACCAAAAGCTTCCCTCTAAGCAGGAATAACACAAGGATGCCCACTTTCACCACTGTTATTTAACATAGTATTGGAAGTTCTAACCAGTGATCATGCAAAAAAAAAGAAGTAAAAGGGATCCAAACTGGCAAGGAACAAGTAAAACTATCACTATTTGCAGATGACATAATACTGTGTCTATAGAAAACCCTAACGAATCCACCAAAAAGCTATTAGAAATAATAAACAAATACAGTAAAGTTGCAGGATACAAAATCAACATACAAAAATCAGTTGCATGTCTAGAGACAAACAATGAATAGAGAAATCAAAAATACAATCCTATTTACAATGGCAACAAGAAGAATAAACTTAACCAAAGAGGTAAAAGACTTGTACATGAAAACCACAAAACACTGTTAAAAGAAATCAAAGAAGACAGAAAGAAAAGGAAAGATATTCTGTACTCATGGATTGACAGAATTAACACAGTTAAAATGTTTATATTTCCTAAAGCAATCTACAGATTCAATGCAATCCCTATCAAAGGCCCAATGACATTTTTCACAGACATAGAACAAAGAATCCTAAAATTTATATGGAACAACAAAAAATCCTGAATAGCCAAAGGAATCCTCATGAAAAAGAACAAAGCTGGAGGTATCACACTCCTGGATTTCAAAATATACTACAAAGCTATAGTAATCAAAACAGTGTGGGACTGGCACAAAAACACACACACAGATCAATGGAACAGAATCAAGAGCCCAGAAATAAACCTACACATCTGTGGACAGCTAATCTTTGACACAGGGACCAAGAACAAACAATGGAGAAATGAAAGTCTCTTCAATAACTAGTGCTGGGAAAACTGGACAGCCACATGCAAAAAAATGAAAGTAGATCATTATACTACACCATAAACAAAAATTAATTCAAAATTGATTAAAGACTTGAATGTAAGACCTGAAACCATAAAACTCCTAGAAAACAACATGGGCAATATGCTCTTTGACATCGGTCTTAGCAGTATCTTTTTGAATATCATGTCTTCCCAGGCAAGGGAAACAAAAGAAAAAGTAAACAAATGGGACATCAAACTAAAAACCTTCTGCTTAGCAAAGGAAAGCACCAACAAAGCAACTTAACAATTGGGAGAAGATATTTGTAAATCATATATTTGATAAGGGGTTAATATCCAAAATATATAAAGAACTCATACAACTCGACAACAAAAAACCAAACAACCCAATCAAAAAATGGGCTGAGCATCTGAACAGACATTTTCCCAAAGAAGATATACAGATGGCCAACAGGCACATGAAAAGATGTTCAACATCACTAATTATTAGGGAAATGCAAGTCAAAACCACAATGAGATATAACCTCCTGCCTGTCAGAATGCCTATTATTAAAAAGAAAAGAAATAACAATTGTTGGAGAGGATGTGGAGAAAAGGGAACCCTCATTCGCTGCTGGTGGGAATGTAAACTGGTGCAGCCACTATGGAGTACTGAGATTCAGTATGGAGATTCCTTAAAAAATTAAGAATAGAATATGATCCAGCTATTCCACTTCTGAGTATTTATCCAAAGAACACAAAAACATGAATGCAAAAAGATATATGCACTTCTATGCTCATTGCAGCATCATTCACAATAGCCAAAGTCTTGGACACAACCTAAGTGCCCATCAATGGATAAGGATGTGGTATATATACATACAATGGAATACTACTCAGCCACAAGAAAAGATGAAATCTTGCTATTTGCGACAACATGGATGGACCTTGAGGGCATCATGCTAAGTGAAAGAAGAGAGATGGAGAAAGCCAAATACCATAGGATTTCACTCATATGTGGAAGAAAACAACAAACACATAAATATAGAGAATAGATTGGTGGATACCAGAGGGGAAGAGGGGATGGCGAAGTGTGAAAAGGCTAAAAGGGCACACGTGTACGTGACGGGTGGTAATCAGATGTCAGGTGATGAACATGATGTAGTCCACACAGAAATGAAAATATATTGATGCACACTTGAAATTTATATAATGTTATAAAACAGTTACCTCAATAAAAGGGAAAATTAAGATAAAGTAAAAATCACAAAAATTCAAGTAAAAATTTTAAGCATGGCATCATGATACATATTTTTAAAGAATCCGACAGACTTTCACATTGTAATCCATGTTAGTTCATGGCCCAGTAAACTGTTAAATATATATACTTCATACATGCCTATGCTACATGTATTTGCTTTAAACTGCATACTGTAGATCTAAACTCAAATTGTGATTCTGCTAGATCTAATATTAAAATTACTTAGTTTTCACTTGGTATATGACAACTGTTAGTGATAAAAGTTGCTTTTGAAACTTGCTGGGTAACTAGAATATATTTAATGAAAATTTTGCCTCCCATAATTAATTTGAGGAACAATTACATGCCAATCAAGAATTGACTGCAAGTACATTTACATCAGGGCAAGCGTCAAAAGAAAAAAGATCTATAAGTTACAATGAATAAGAACTTAAAAAATTTTACGTGGCATTTAAGACCATTATGTTTCAAGGATACCACTGTAATATGCCCCATTATTTTATGTGTCATAAAAGAAAAAAAAAGCCAATTAAACTATGGCATGCCATTGATCATATCACACTTCCCAATTTCAGATACTTTTAAATGTGCAAAAAGTACATCACAGACTCAATGAAGTAAGTGAAAAAGCAAGTGCAAGAACCAGGACTATAAGCTGTAAAACACTGTTTTCAAACTTTGTAAAGAAGTGTATTCTTTTTTTCCCCAAATGAAAAATTATAAGAAACATCAATAAATAAAAGAGATAAATATAAAACCACTCTAGTTGGGGGTGAGTGGGCAGAACTCTCCACTACTGCATTTACTTTTCCTCTCACTTCATCAACTCCGAGACATCCCCAGAGAACAGATTTCAAAACCATTGCCTTTGAAAAGACTATCAATTTTCAAAGATATGAAGAAATGTTATATAAGCATGGATATGTATTTAATCCACATTACTAATAGAAAATAGGGAATTACATAAGTAATTTTCTGAATGTAAACTTTGTGAGTTTTTATGAACAGTCTAAATTATGCCACAGAATACAGCTAGCATCAACATCCAATCATTTCAGTCAGTTCCATTAAAAATTCACTCTATCATTTATATGCTTTGTCTTTATAATTCCAAATAAATTTGTACTGAAATGGCCAGTTATTCCACTGTTACGTTGAACCAGCCATACTCTGTATTGCTATGGTTAACAGAAAGGGTTAAAAGTCATTTACTTACTATATACTCTACTGTTTTGGTATTTTAACATAAGGCATATTAACTGTTTTCTGCATGTTAATTTCAGTCACTGGTTTCCTTTCTTAGAAGACAACTGAATAGTTCTACAACATTTTTGCTTTCAATAATATTTAACCCCTGTTAAATTACGGTTTACACTGGTACCTAACTATGATTCTGGAATTGAATTTTCTATATAAAGAAAAATGGATGTTCTGAGAAAGGCATACCATTAACATAAGGAAGCCAGTGGTTTTACTTACTCTCCTCTCCACAGACACACACTCCATAATTTAAAACCAGATATTTGTGAGAAAGCTGGCTCATCATGCTTGCTGCTTCAAAGAAAGACTAAGGAAAAGAAAAACATACAAAAAATGCAAAATAATTAGTTTGTGTCTATATGTATTCACAGTTCAGAAAGATTCTCTCTGCCCTAAGAGAAATGCACTTTTTCATATCCTCAGCAGGACTATAGATAAAACTACAATGTGGTTTGTTCCCCTTATATGGACTTGCAACTGCCATCAACCTTGATGGTAGAGTTCATTCTGAGGAAACCCCTGAGTAAGCCTGGAATGAGGAGATAGCAATGACAGGGAGAGCAATATGATACAGGGCAACATGAATGATGCAAGATAAACAGGCTTAGACCTATAGCACCTAGAGTAGAGAAAAGAGGTACAAACAGAGGTAGACACCAGAGATAGTGATAAGGGACTGAAGTAAATAGATGGGAGCTTCAAATAACACTTCCTAAAGAATTAAGAACGATCTCTATGTGGGTAAAATATGACAAGTAGGTTCAGAGACTGGCATGGTATTAATGGCACTCTAACTCAAATGAACTTTTGACTAGAACTTCTGGGTGTGGTTCTTGAGGATCACAATCACCAACACTACAGTGTTCTGGATTAAAACAACTCTTCAGCTAGTATGTTTCACATTATCTCCCACTAACATCCTTTAAGACATTTTAAGTATCATAAATGTTTGTCATGTCATGTTTGGTGATGTCTTGCTACGCTAAGGACTCTGGCAACTGGCAGCTGGGTTTCTGCCAGCTAGCATATCTGTATGATGTCCAGAGGCATCGATATTTTACTGAGAGTGTTCTTAGTATGGTGCCTTTCAATTATTTTTTCCTTTTAAATAGATAAAATTGTGGAGGAAATCTGTGGAACCCATAAAGCTCTGAGGAGCCAAGTTTGAAAATCATTGCCTTAGTATATGTAGAGATGTAATAATACCCACAACACAATGCTAAAAGTAGTTAGTTTGGAAATAAGTTATTATAAAAAAATTTTATAATTTTCTATAGCCCAACCAGAATCCATCCTCAGAAAGATCCTTGATACATACACTTTTAAAAACTATAATTTTAAAAAGCTGAATGCTCTAATGTGTTGTGTGCATATGAGTGTATGTGTTTAAATACCATAAACTACATGAACCACACAAAACATACACACCTCTGAGTAGTTTCTATGTGATTTATCCAGAACTTTCAAAAGAACTTCTGTTTCATGCAGTTGACCATAGTCTCCTACTTCTCTTCTTACACCTTTAAAAATTTTTGTAAAAGTGCCTTGGCCAAGGCTTTCATTCTTTAAAAGAAAAGGAAGGAAAAGAGTAAAGATGGAAAAAAATGAGACAATTAGGAAATAAGTCCAATGACAAAGAGTCAAAAAAAATTCACGCGCAAATATTTCCCCAAAAACTGAACCCAGATTTGAGACTCCAAATTAATTATATTCTGCTTCCTTACACAGTGATAAAAGACAGAAAACAGGATTAATGAATAAAGTGTATTTTGCTTCCACCTTGTTCTTAACCCCCCTGAATTAGCTATCATTATCACTTTTTTATAGTGTCAATGTTTATCTGCACATATTTACATTGAATCTTTTTCTTTGTTTGCCTTTCCTAATAGTGCAGCAGAAAGGCAAAAAGTATGGTTTGTGGTGGCAGAATGTCTGACTTGTTCCTTATTACCACTCACGAGTTGTGTTACCTTGCACAGGCTATTTAATCTCTCTGGGATGCAGTTGTCTTGGTTTCTTCAACTGAAGAATGGGGACAATATTTTTCCATAGGATTGTTATTAACAACAAGTGAATAAACACATGAAAGCACTTAGTACAGTCCATGACACTTACTAAATGATCAATTACTATTACTAGTATTACTAGTATTTCTCGCATATCCTTACAGAATAATTGTTGAAAGCCTGCAGTCTGAAGCAGGGCTGCCTACGTTCAAATTGAAGCTCTACTATTATTACTTTTGTAATGTTAGGTTACTTGGTGACTCTTTGCTTCCTGTTATTTATATGAGGATTCATGTCTTTAAAATTCTAGATAATTCTATCTATTGTCTCTTTATAGAACTCAGACATCAGTTGGTCTTTCTCATTCTACTCTCCAAGTCCCTTATTCTCTGTCATAATTTCCATTTCTTTCTCCCTATTTGTTGCATCTGAGCAATTTTCAGGTCTATCGTCCAATTCACTAATTCTCTCTTTGAGTAATCTGCTTTCTAATCTGTCCATTTTGTTTTAATGTCAATGAGTGTATTTTTTCATTTCTATACTTTTTCCCCAAAATCTCTTTGGTCTTGTTTGATAATGTCTTGGGGTTTTCCCCCCCATATTTTCAACTCCTCTTATATTTTTAAACATGTTCTTTATAATCTGTATCTGAAACGTCTGTTATATGAAGTTCTTGGAGTTCTAATTTTGATTTGTGTTAGTCTGCTGACTCCTGCTTAATCCTGGATTATTTTCCTGTATGTTTTTAAATTTTTGATTAAAAGCTCATGTTTGGAGTCGTTTTATCCATGGGAATCCTGGGTTTTATCTTAAGAACATTAAGAGAATGTTCTTCCAAAAAGACTTTGTATTTGTTTCTGCCAAGAACCACAGGGTAATACTAGGGAAATACCACTTTTTATTTTAATTTAATTTACTGGCTTAGGTCTTCTCTGACCATGCAGGTGGTATAAAGAAATCCAAACTCAGAAGATTATGATTACAAATTCTCAGGAGAGAGGTTTTTTCCCCCAACTAAGAGCCCAACTAAAACAGAGAACACTCCTTTTCTTCTCCCTTGCTAGCAGGTAAATTTTTCACAATCTATATATTGTTTTACTGAGGATGTATTTGCTTGAGGGTCCCAGCTTTATTCAGAGATGGTCTCACTTTTAATTCCTCATCTTGCGTAGGCCTTAAGACTTTATACCCTTCTTTGTATTGCTTTTAGATCTTAATCCTCTTCACTAGTGAGACTAATGCTGACCCCCAAAACATCATCCTGCAGCCAAAATATTAGCTCTTACATACTACTATGTTTTCAGTTTCTTCTTTATTTTTAACCCCTTGAACTTCCCTTACTTCCTTGAGAATTAAGATACAGATCTTTTGTAGAGAAGATTTTTAATTTTTAATGCAAGATTTATGAAGAGATACTGTTAAATTCCTGAAAAGAGAATACAATTCCATTCTTAAAGTAATCAATTTTGCTAATTTCTAACTCTGGTTCTGTACATTTTCACAAGAAATAAAAATATTTAAAAACTGCAATAAAATTTTTATAATATAGGCTACAATAACGTAGTTCCAAATGTCACATGAAAGTAATGTGGGATAGAAAATGAACAAAACAGTTCTTTAAAAGGACAAAAAAAAAGACAATAATCAGCATCTAATGACTTACAAATATCAAATCTTCATTTCTGATTTTGTGAAACACCATTTGGTTCACATTATTATGCCTCTGTAATGTTGGTGAGGTCGGTACCTCAGAAACACCATTGGTTCTGAAGACTAGAAGGTTTGATTTATCTTTAAAAAAAAAAAGAAACAATGAAAAAATATATATAACCAAAATATACGGAGGATAGAAATTGCTCAAAGGAGTAAAATGTGTTCTATATTTAAGAAATGCTTAACAACTTATATTCATTTTTTTCCATAGAAAAGTTTTTTAGGAGTTTATTCATTGAACTTTGATGTACTCTAACGAGTTATTTCATACATTCAAAATTATGATCACTTCCTTAACTAATATAATTTTTCAGGAATTTTAATAATGATTTTTAATAATCCTGTTAGGGGCTTTCCAACCTTACCATCTTTATTTTAAAGGCAAAGAAATTAAAATTCTAAAAGAGTATGAAAGTTTTTACTTAGAACAACATATGAGAATTTAGTAGTGAGGTCTTTCAGTTTAATAAATGACTGATTTATACAAGGCAATTATTATTTTTTAAATGCCATTTATTTATTTTTTGCTGAAGAAGATTCACCCTGAGCCAACATAGGTTGCCATTCTTCCTCTTTTTGCTTGAGGAAGATTTGCCTTGACCTAACATCTGTGCCAATCTTCCTCTGTTTTGTGTGTGGGTCACCACCACAGCATGGCTGCCGACGAGTGGTATAGGACCATGCCTGGGAACCAAACCCAGGATGCTGCAGTGGAGCATGCCAAATTTAACCCCTAGGCTACAGGGCTGGCCCCTAAATGCCATTTTAGAATTATGAAACTTCAAGTCACTTCGAGACAACCCAAACCAGACTGAACAATCCTATCTGAAGAATGAGACAAAATTAATTTGTTTTTAGAGTTCCTCTTTCAGATTTTTTTTGAAATCAATATACCAAAGATATCTCCCACCATATACACAATCCATGACCAGTATTTTAAAAATAACTAGAAAATTATTTTACCTTTTGGCTTTGGGGGACAGCATTTAGTAAACTGGAAAATTATACTGTCTGAGCGAACAGTTTCCATCTGATAGCAATTCAAAAGATCTTTAAGACTACTGAAGTTCTTCTTAGTCCCACTTAGGTTGTATTCTCCATTCTCATTTTTTGTAATCAAACAGTGCTTATGTTCAATGACATTTTCTCGCTATGTAAGTTTAATTATAAAAGAGGGAGGGAAAAATCACAATGGACATCATAGTGATTATTGTGACAAAAAGGCTATCACAAAAACAACCAACAGAACATTAAGACATTTGAACCATGAATCCTAAGGCAGTACTGGTATAGGGTATAGGGTGACAGAGGTGCTTGGTTCCTCAAAAAGGCATCTGATTGAAATTGCATAGACTACAGAAATTACTTGAGTTGATTTTATTAAAAAGAAAGCAAGCCACAATAATTAACAACAATAATAATAATACCATCCTTAACAGTTTTCCATCATTTACAAGATAGAGTCTAAAACTAATTTAGCATATAAGGCCTTCCATGAGCTGGCTTCTGCCGCCATCTCCAATCTCAACTCCTGCCACTCCCAACATACATCCTATGTTCTGGCTCTATTAAGTGACTTAAAAATTTCAAGCAAGTGCCATGCTGTTTCATGTTTTGATAACTTGTACATGCTATCTCTCTACCTATGAATGCACATCCTCTCCTTCTGAGCAGTGGACTTTCATTCATTTCCTAAAACTCAGTTAACATACTGCTTTCTCTGTGAGGTCCTCCTTAACAACTCTCACCCTATTCCGAGAGCAAAGGTAATTACATATTCCATTGTGCCACTGTTGTATTTGTATAATTATCTCTAATATGGCAATTTTAATATTTTTCAGTTTTTCAATGTTTATGTGCTGTACTATGAACTTGTTCATTCATCTATTTTTTGAGCTGCTTATAAACTTATTCAACCTACTTAGAACCATTCATATAAAATCAACTAAATATCTCAAGTCCTTCCTACTCCAAAAGATCTTTCTAACAATTATAACCCCTTCTGTTATTGTCTATATTTGCCTATACTGGATAATTACTATGCTCAATTTAGTATTTTTGGAGGTATACTTTGTATTATTATACTTTAGTATTATAATATTTAGCATTATTTTTGTTTTCCCAAAAGATAAATTTATTGAAGCAGAGGTACATCACACATGCCCAAACATTACATAACCCTATTAGGTGGGGCAAATACAGTAACCATAAAAAAATACACATTTTGATTTGATAATTAAATATAATGGACTGTCATATATGATAGTAAGAAGACACTGAAATTAGGAGAGATTATCAGTATTTTATAATGCTACATCCATGGAGGAACCTACTTTCTGTATTTATGGACAGTTAATCCATTCTACATACTCTAAATATAAGATTGTTGCACTTCATAAAAATTAAAATAATCGAATAAGAAAATCCTTTTTCTACTTTTAACAAGTAAGATAAGTCTTGGAAGCTGCTATAGAGGTTCTCAACATTATCATGAAACTGCCTTATAAGTGATATATCTTTTTAGATAATTTTGGATATTAAACAATCTTAGACAAGATCCAAAATGATCTGTATTAACATGAGGTTTCATTGTAGTTTTACGCTTAAAACATACATTATAGATCTTTTCTTTTTTTTTTGGGTGAGGTAGATTTGCCCTGAGCTAACATCCATTGCTAATCCTCCTTTTTATTTCTTTTGATTAAGGAAGATTAGCCCCGAGCTAAGATCTGTGCTAATCTTTCTCCATTTTTTGTATGGGGGATGCCTCATGCGTGGTTGACAAGTGGAGTAGGTCCGCGCCCAGGATCCGAACCCTCAAACCCGGGCTATGGAAGCAGAGCACATAGAACTTTAACCACTCAGCCACGGGGCCAGCTCCCATAGTTTGTTATTCTTATACTGCAAAACCACTAGTTAAAAGTGCTATAACGTTTCTTTCTTCGTTACTTTCCTATTTCACTCTAATTTTGTAATCATTACTAGTAAAAGGAAAGTTTGCTTCTGATTTACTTTGTTCCACTTGTTTTTGTGAAGATTTCCATTTTTGTGAAAAGACTTCAAGAGACTTGACGAAACTTGACACACTGGTAACACTCAAACATCAAAAAATAAAATATATTCCAAATAAAAAGATAAAAAGACATAAATTATGTTACATTTTTATGTAAATCCTAGGAATCATATCTCATTTATTTATGTAGAATCTGAGGTAAATTAAGCATTATTATGCAGGTTATCATTTCCAGAGCTACAATTCTAAGTATTAAAAAGGAAACATGATAAACATAACAGAGAAGTTATACGGACTAAACAAAGCTGTTGCTATTAATTAATGTGACATACTAACCTCGACAGCAAAAGTCAGAAAATATTTATTAAAGTCCTTAGGACTGCATCGAAGTACATAGAGTCCAGTTTGATTACCTGCTTTCTTCAGCTTGCTGATGGCAAAATCCATTCTAAAGGTAAAGAATTTGAATGATAATGCATTGAGTACTATGCCATTATGACCAAATGTCATCTAAAAGATCAAAGTCAAATCTAAAACATTCAGAGCTTTTAGAAGTCTCCTCTACTTTATATGTTTATCAATAATCTTGCAAGGAAAAATATTAAAGTACCAAGCTATTTTGCAGTAAGTTCAAACCAACTGAAGGAGCAATTATATTGCTTTAAAAACAAATAAAAAGTATCATAAGACATAAAATCACAAAAAATAATTCATTTGAATTTTCTGCCTTCTGTACGAATTTAGCACTTAAAAAACCATACTCACTCTCATAAAATTTCATGTAACTATGCAAAACAATGTATCATAAAACACTTATGTCTCTTCTACCATAGCAATAACTAATATAAAAATTTATGTGCATTATTTTAATATTTAATGTAATACCAAAGTCTAGTAGAACACTCATGGCAAGTGACAAAGACTACTGATTTTTAAAATTTGTTATATGTTTTATTGAAGCTGCACATCTTGAAAGAAAAGTCAAAATGTAATCTACATGAAAGCAAGAATCATCTCTATTTCACTTAGCACTATATTTCTCATATATAAACCAGAATCTGGCACATATTAGGCACTCAGTAAACGTTTTATAAATAAACGAAAGAATGCTTGAATGGATGGATAATGAATGAATGAATGGTAGTTTTTAAAATATTGAATATGTAATTATATTAGAATCTTCAAGTAGTGCAACTTTTTCATAACAACCATACCTACTATCCAGACATTAGGTACAGACTGAATCAAGTCTTAAATATCAGTCAGGATATGTTTTCTTCAAACCTGGTACCAATCAGAAAGCACATCCTAGCTGAGAGATAAGCAGGACTTGGACTAAACAGATGGTATGCATGATAGCTGGCTTTATCCAGTATTAAAGTAAGGGTCTACAAGTGTGTGGCTCAATATGGTAGCTAGTAGCCACATGTAGGTATTTAAATGTAAAGTTATTAAAATTAAATTAAAAGTTAAGTTCCTCAGTTGCACTAACCACATTCCAGTGAGTGAATGTTATAGATATTCCCTCGTGCCTGTAGTGAACGTTTGATAAGTCTTATTTGAAGATGCTTCATATAATGCTGAATAGCCGCATGTGGCTAGTGGCTACTGTATTAAACAGCAAAGTATTTTCATCACTGCAGAAGTACTGCATAGCACTAGTCTAGAAATATGTACATGATATACATTTTGTGTTAGAAGCTTTCAGTAAAAGGAGCTGGATTATCCAAAAATAATGATGATTATCAAATTTTGCATTGGGCTCTCATGCAGTATTTCAAAATTAACGCAACATAAATTGGAGGGTTTCTTAAATTAAGACCCAAGAATTAATTAAACACACCTAGGCAACTAAATGTCAAACTTATACAAGTTAGAATTATTACAAATTGGGAAACAGATGGCAAATTATAACCTAAATAATTCTAATTATCATATGATCTGATTGCAAATAGACTTTTGTTAAAAAAAAAAAAAACCAGTCAAATTAGTATTTTTTCTAAACTCTTAAACGTATGTATAACAGTCTGTTGTGTAAAATCTTTTTTTATAAATATCTCATTTTTTTTTAAATTTAGTTTTAAAGTCTGTATTACTCACGAAATTGGGCCATGACAGTTGCTTTGTATATTTTCAAGCACCATTGGAGGTGCTACTTCTTTACAGAGGTAATGATGTGCATCTGCAGTTAATCTATAATATCCATCAATTAATGACACAAAAGACAAAGCTTCTCTCAATGAGCTAAGTTCAATTTCCTAAGTGGAGAAAAGAAAAAAATAATAGCAAGTATTATTTTAAAAGTCAACTACAGGGGCCGGCCCAGTGGTGTAGTGGTTAAGTTCAGTGTGCTCTGCTTTAGCAGCCCAGGGTTTGCAAGTTTGGACCCTGGGTGTGGACCTACACTACTCATCAAGCCATGCTGTGGCAGTGACTCACATACAAAATAGAGGATGACTAGCACAGATGTTAGCTGAGGGCTGCTCTTCAAACAAAAAAAGGAAGATGGGCAACAGATGTTAGCTCAGAGCCAATCTTCCTCACCAAAAAAAACGTCTGCTACATATTGAAAATTTTCTTCACTCCATATTGTTAGATTAATTCTCCTAAATTAATTTTCTTTTAAATCACTCAAATGTCTTTAATGGCTCTCAATTACCCAATCTGAATTACAAATTCTTGTGTCAGATATTCAAGAGCTTCTCGAATGTGGGCTTATCATGCCTGTCCAGTTATAGTTCATTTTACATTCATAATATTTCTGCATTTTTCAACATCCCTATTAGGCAAATGTGCCAGTCATCTCTATTAGAAATCTATCTAATCTGATATAAAAGCTGGTACTAATTAGAAATAATGAGCATCTATTTTTACATATCAACTATACACTGCTAAGGTTAAAGTACTCATGCTATGCACTAAAATGTATGGAGTATAAACTAAAATCATATATAGTCATGCTATGATTGTATCATATATACATATGTGAATATACAATCAGCCTAAAATGCATCTTATTTAATGGGAAAACACCACAGCAACTTCTCCTAAAATCAGGAATAAGATAAAAAAGCCCACTATTTAATATTGTACTGTGTTGTATTGTATATAGCTAATATAATTAGGCCATAGAAAGAAAGTATAAATACAGAAATTAGAAACAAGGAAGTAAACTATTTGGAGGTTATATTTTATACTTGAGGAACCCAAAAGAAAACAGCTCAGGGCTAATCTTCCTCCAAAAAAAAAAAGAAGTTCTTTATTTTACTACAGGATGTTCACATTAGCATCAATAAACTCTTCTAGAAATATTTATTCTATAAATACCACACTTATAGAATAAATCTTTAATGTGTGTATATAGACTATGCATGTATTTGTCATATTTATAGAATAAATATTTCTTCTATAAATTCCACATTGAGGTTGATAATTATTAATTATTCTTTCATTGATCCATGAAATAGTTATCAAGCTCTTTCTAAAGCAGGCCCTGGAGGGCCAGTCGCAGTGGCCTAGTGGTTAAGTTCGGCACACTCCACTTTGGTGGCTCAGGTTCAGTTCCCAGGTGCAGACCTACACCACTCATCTATCAGTGGCCATGCTGTGGTGGTGCCTCACAGACAAAAAGAGGAAGATTGGCAGCAGATGTTAGCTCAGGGCAAATGTTTCTCAGCAAAAAATAAACAAACTAGGCCCTGGAGCACTGTGCAAAGTGCAGACAGTAAAAACACACAAAAAAATATGATTCTTACCTTCAAGAAGCTCATAGTCTAGCAGGTAGAAGGTGCACACTACCATATTTTTATCTAAGAATACGACAGAATGCTGACTAAAGTGAGTTACAAGTTGGTTATAATTTTGGTAATATAACTCTGAAATGGCCAGATAGGTAGGTCATACAGATACAAAATTTAAGAGCAGAATATAAAGGAATTAATTTCTTCCCTTTCAATTAAAATAAGTGAGATTTCTAGGGCTATTTAAAGAAAGGATTAATCTTCTAGAATCAATCATGTCTGACAGCTTGGGTAGGGCTGACCTGGGATTGATTTATATTTTGTTATATAAATTCCAGATAGTATTGTTCTGATTTCTCCTTTAGTCAGGCAGCATGACAGGCATTATGCACATCTCTATCAGTAAAAAAAAGTGTATAGGTGGAAATGAGCACTACAACAAGGAACTAGCACAACACAGAGTGTGGGGAAAAGTAACTAGTGCTTTGCTAATGATAAAAATGAGTGAAAAATACAGTAACGTACAAGAAACTCTGGGAAGACTGTTGGCAATGATACAAAAAGCTAGACGTAATAAAAAAAGTTTACTAAACCGATGTTCATGTTTAGAGCTATATTTAATATGATAATGAAAATTTCTACAAGAAAATAACTTTGGTATTAAGATTCTGAAATACTTATTTCTGACACCTGTAAAACATAACCATTATTTACTTATGAAGCAAACTTACCAGAGTTTTACCATCTTGCTTATGGATAGTTACAATTCTGCTTTCATTTGAGCCTTCTTGGTGTGCTTGCTTAATATTCACATCAATAATATCAGGAAAATCACAATATAACTGTAAATTCTGCAATTAAGAGCATTTGAAATTAAAAACAGGTAGAATTTATGGAGCCATTTCAAAACAAGAAGATAACATTCATTTCAATTCTTTAAAATAAACAAGTATTGATAGCAATAGATAAGTATTAAATGAGATTTTCTCCCCCAATAATCTAACCCTAAGACTATACTGCATCTTGCTTTGAATTAAAATGAGAGCATTAAAGGATGCCAGGATGCTATAGTACTCTTCAATCCAATCAACATTAATAAGAACCATTGCCAGAAAATTGAAAATTTAACTACCAAAGAATGAAGATTAAAAAAATAAATAAATCTCTAATAACAATCTAAGAACAACATAGACATGAACAAACTTAAAACACATAACGCAAGCTAAAAAAACTAAATTATTTAACAGGTATATATCATCATAACAACAAAATTAATCTTTTCCAATTAATCAAATTATATGATTGTGTCTCCTACTATCAACAATAGTAAAAAAAAAAAAAAAAAAAAAGGAGGCAAAACTACCTTAAAAATCACTTTTAATTTTCAAGCCTTTTCTGAAACTATAAGAACACCATTACTAATTATATTGTCATAAAAAATTAAATAAAAGACCATTTAAGAACAATGAGAAAAGAACTATAGATATGACCTTGATGGCTTCACACTATTAAAAATGTCCACTTCTATCAATGGGAGAAAAGAAGTGCAAGACCATGTTTCAAATGAGTAAAATTACTTTGCTTCTATTGCCATTTTACTTAAATTAACAAAGAATGAGAACGTATCATTAAGGATTACCTGTTCTGTCAGTGTCTCACTTTCTTTATGTTTCCCTCTTGACCACTGAATTCCACCGTTTCCAGTTATTATAATGGTTGCAAAAATCTCCTCACCTGAAGGACCTCTTCCAGGTTCTTTTACTTCAAATTGCTCTGTGTAGAAGGCAGACTGAAGAGTTTCCAGATTTATAAGATACTTAAGTTTCAAGTTTCTGGCAGTGGCTTTGCAATGGCTGAATTGCTCAATAAATCTGCGAAATCTGTACCTTATTCGTTTCCTTGTCAAAATATGATAGTCTTGGATCTTTGCTCGAACACATTTTGGTAAGAATGTCTTGTAGCTAGAGATAAAGAGCACACACAGAAAAGCAAAACAAATTAGGAAATAAATCTAAAACAAAATTAAGAGAAGTTACCTCCTTTCTCCATGATAGCTAAGTACTACAGCACAGTGGTCAAGTGGAGAAAGGTGACATAGCCACTACCTACACAGAATAAAACCTTAATGTTTCATCTGATGATGTGAATACATATATAAATTCTCTCTGAGGTACCATAAATGTTTAAAATAGGAGATGTTAATTTTCTTCCCCTAATTAAATGAAAACTTAGTCTAGTTAGTAATGGAGTCTAAAAATTTGTTTTCTCTGATTATCTCATATACTATCTTTTCGGCACTGTGTTACAAATATTTCCTATGATGCTGTACAGCAAAATTCATATAAATTCTGGAAATTATTACATTTTGTTGACTGCTACTGTTGTTCATTATGCAAACATACTTTTTTTGTATACATTATTGTCTTAGGCCAGCTTCAGTAATTTGTAATAATTCCTTTGTAATCCAAACAATTCCATTTGGAAATGTTCTGACTCTTTTGCATCTCCATCTCTATGAAAAATATCCTAAAGAAAGTAGATAACTTATTTTCCTCCTGCTCAAATATCTGACAAATGAAGAACATTTTACTTCTGCAGGTAAAACTGTATTAAATTTTCATGCCTTCACCTATGCTAATCCTTCTCCCCATCACCCATCTCCTATCTGGTTAGCTTTTATTCATTCTACAAGTCTTAGCTCAAGCATCATCAAAGCTAGGAAACCTTTCTGGATCTCTATGACTATGTTAGATGCTCCTCCCTTTGTCTGACAGAATTCTATGCACCCCTCCATCATACCACTTATCACACTATGCTGTACTTGAGTATTTACAGCCAGTGCTGGAGAAGGCTCATGCTGAGACTTTATTAATACATTTTAAGGATTTTGAGCTGATTGTTAAACATCCATCATTAAAATTTAAGTTATGTAAATTTACAAATAAATAAACTATATTAAAAATACAGGTAATAGGGGCCGGCCCCATGGTACAGTGGTTGAGTTTGGTGCTTTGGCAGCCTGGGTTCACAGGTTCAGATCCTGGGCACAGACCTACATCACTCATCAGCCATGTTGCGGTGGCGACCCACATACAAAATAGAGGAAGACTAGCAGAGATGCTAGCTCAGGGCAAATCTTACTCAGCCAAAAAAAAAAATCTATGTGTGAATATATATAGGTAATAATACTCAAAATGCATCCCTTCCAATTTTATACTTTTAATTTTATTTTACATTTTACTACTAACTATGCTTTTGATGTCATTTATGGTTATCATATATGAGTATTGGAAAGAGTTTGCTATTGCTCATCTCTTCCCAATTCTGCATTTGATGACGTCAGGTTGATACCCTGAAATTGGCCATGGAGAGATTATTTACATGATGGATATCAGCAAAGATCATAAACAAATCACACTTTTTTTCCCCCAAGAACTGGTTGTTAAACATTTACCAGCACACCACTGCTTATTCCCTTTCCCATCCTACTCTAAACCCCTTGAGGAACACTCAGTTTTATACTCAAATAGCCACAGCTGCTGGAGCAAGACAAGATAGATAGATTGCATTGTAACAAACTCATAATCACTAATTTCAAATGGGCTTTCATTACTACTGTCACTTTTACCATATTTCTCTGTTGAACTAATTTTCCCAAGTCCCACAACTATGTCAAACCTTCTCAAACTTCCTCAAACCTCCTACCTTTCTTCTGCCTCAAACTCACCTACATTCCTCCTCACTTGCAGCAGACTTTATCTCTTTCTCAGGGGAAAAATAAAAACAAAAAGGTTTCTCTAAGCAGAACTCACTCAGTATCCTACTAGCAAACCTACATACATCTGCACTCATTCTCCATCCTTCTTCCCACCTATTACAATAAATAGGGTATAAACCTGCTCATTAAAGCCATTTCTTTGACACGTACTTACTTATACCCTTCTCTCTTCCTGTAATATACATTCACCCTCTGGGGAATTTTTTACTCTATTTTTTCTCTTCTATCCACATGCTTTAAAAATACTAACACTCTTCCCATCTTAAATGTAAAATCTCTTTATCCCATATCTCCCTCCAGCTACATACTATCTGGCCTCTTTTTGAAAGTTTATTCAGCCAGTTCCATTTTCCTGCCTTCCATCTACTCCTCAGCTCACTCAAATCTGGCTTCTGCACCATCATTCCATAGAAACTGCTCTTGCCAAAAATCAAGAAAAACTTCCATGTTGCAATTTACATAAACAGCAATGGCTACTTGATTTAATAAAGTTTTGAAAACTTATCTGGAGACAAAAAGAAGAGTTTAAGATAACAACATAAAACAAGGCTTTCCACTTTGATGCTTATAATAAGGGACCAGATATACATCTTTTGAGAATACCATAGGAGTGTGAGGTTCTTGAATACGGTGAATCCACTTTCATGTCACGCTACCAGAAAGAGACGTTAGAAACACTAAAATTTTTCAAGAGACACAAAGTTGTTGACTCTGGAAGCATAAAACATTTCCCTGATGCTTTTCTTATATTGAGTTTTTAAAGATTCCTAAAAGTGAGGTTCTAAAAGGCTCTGAAATTCAGCCTTGCCGTAGACAAGTAGTGTAAAACGAAATCTGCTTTTTATCATTACAATTGGAGTAGGCTACTGGAAACTTAGTATGAGTACAGTTGTTTAGAAAGGGTCTAGTGATAGGAGGTATGTAGTTCAGTTGCTATGTAAGTGGCCTTGGCTCTGGCCTAGTGTTTGAAACTCCGCAGTCTCCTTTAAACTCTTTCCATTCTCCAGTTCTCTTCTTCCCACCCTTTAGCAAATTGAGGATTTTCAAGAGCAGATGAAGAATGAAAATGGAAAAATCTTATTTGTTTCCTTCATTTTCTGTACTCCAACACCTAAGTCAGAATGTTTAATTAGGAATTAGCATACAAAGGAATAAGTATCTAATACATAAACATACACAAAGAAATGCACAAACACATATACACAGGTGCATATGCACATAAAAGCATGGGCTCACAGACATAGACACACCTAACACAGAGGCACAGACATGCACCCTACATATATTTTTTTTAAGTCTGGGAAAGAATATGTATTTAGTTATACTAATCAAAGATTCATACCCTACTGGATATTTCCAGGAACAGGCAGTTTATTCATTCTGCCAAAAACTAACCATTCATCTGTTCTCCTGTCAATCCTGAATATTTAAACACTGAGTAGAGTTCCTTGATTATTTCTCAGAAATAAGCATTAAATAAGAATTCAAAAAAATCAGTGAGTTCAATTATATTAAGAAGGCAAGCAAGGCAGGCATGTTTTGCTTCAGAACAAGGATAAGTTATTTATCTAATATTAAAATATCATGGTACAAGAGACAAAAGAAAAATTAAATTAGACTGCGAAATTTAAACTCATGCTGCAAATGATACTTTTAAGAAAGTGAAAAAACAATCTATAGAATGGGAAAAATATTTTCAACTCATGTATATATAATTTGTATCTGGGGATTTGTATCCAGAATATGTGAAGAACTAAAAAAATATTGAATTATACACTTTAAATGGGTGAAATTTTTCTCAATAAAGCTATTTTAAAATATCATGGAGTCTTATAATTAACGTTTAAAATCTATACAATTTTAAAAGTAAAATAAAGGAAAACAATGATACAGAATTTTGCAGATACATTTATATCCTGGTTAAGAGAATCAGAGAAATACAACTGCTCAACATTCACTGGGTTTAGGACACTAGACTAATAATGTAGGAAGAAGAATAAACAGATGGCATGATTCCTGACCTCAAAGGAAACATAACATACACAGAAAGATTGTGCTAAGACTTTGGACAATATCATGGTCTCCAAAGCAGAAGTGTTTCACCATAGCATAAGCCTAGAGATGGCTTCATTTTTTTAAAATTCACCTTCAGTGGCTCAAAGCTTCTCTGTTCTTCACCTGTGTTCCCTTCAATTCCTTTAATTTCTATTAACAATATCTAAGATACTCCTCCCCTGAATCTGTTCTACTATGGTCTCATACATAGCAGGTATTCAATAAATAGCTGTTGAATGAATGAATGAACAAAAGAATGAATGGCCGAGTTAATATCCTAAAGGGTGCCTGTCTGCATTTATTTTATTTTATTTTTTATTGAAGTATAATTGATATACAATATTATATTACTTTCAGGTTTACAATATAGTGATTTGATAATTTTATACATTACAAAATGATCATCAAGCTAAGTCTAATTACCATCTGTCACCATGCAACGTTATTACAATATCATTGAATATACTCTACACTGTACATGACATTCCTGTGACTTATTTATTTTTATAACTGGAAGTTTTTCCTCATGATCCCCTTATCCTATTTCACCCATTCCCTCCCTGGTGACCACTAGTTCATTCTCTGTATCTATGAGTCTGTTTTTGTTTTATTTGCTCATTTGTTTTGTTTTTCAGATTCCACATATAAGCAAAATCATATGGTATTTTTCTTTCTCTACCTGACTTATTTCACTTAGCCCAATCCCCTCTAGGTCCATGCATGTTGTTGCAAATGGCAAGATTTCATTCTTTTTGAAAGCTGAGTAATAGTCCATTACACAAACACACACACACACACACACACACACATGCATACCCCCTCCCAATCTTCTTTATCCATTCTGTCTGCATTTTAATAAAGATCAAGGCCTTAGAGGGGGAAAAAAAAAATGTTTTGTTTTTCCTTTGGACTTTGGAATCTTCTCGATTCCTCAGTGAGCATACCCCATGGCCTACACCCTTAGGTTAAGGCCTAAGAGACATCTGAAAACAAAACAAGAATGCTTAAAACCAAAGAGAGAAACACAGAAACTGATACACTGCAAATTGGGTATGTAACTGTTTTGACTGTTATGTGACAATGACTACATACATACATACTGTTACATACAAAACAGGAGTGACTGAAGCCAGTTATTGAGAGAAGGATTTCAAGGAAGAAAGAGAGTTTTGACCGGATTCATGACATTCTCAAATTTTCAATCTCAAATGTTACATGTAAAACACATATTTAGTCTTCAAAGAAAAAAAGATTCAAAGCATTCTCATAATAGTCATATAGACTTTTAAAAACAGTAGAAGCTTTATAATCATTAAAGCTGGGCTATAGGAGTAGTGTTTCAAAAACCGCTACTAGGCATGATTATCAAAATTCAAGGTGCAGAAGAAGAATTTGAAGAATGTGGAGTATGGATCACCTGTATAAGACATGTTGGATCAATTATAAGATGAAGAAGGTCTGAGGATCTAATGTTAAATGTGGTGACTATAATTGATAACACTGTATTGTATAATTGAAATTTGCTAAGAGAACAGCACTTAAATGTTCTCACCAAAAAAAAAAAAAACACATATATATGCGAGGTGCTAGGTGCATTAATAAACTAGATAAGGGAATCCTTTCACAATGTATACATATAGCAAATCAACATGATATACACTTTAAATAGCTTACAATTTTATATGTCAATTATACCTTATCAAAGGTAAAATAAAAAAAAATCTCCTGGAGCACTTGCAAAAATTCATATTTCTGGGCTTCACCTCAGATTTATTGGATCCAAATTCTTGGGTTAGGGTCCAAGAATCTTCAATTTTAACAGGCACCTCAGGTGATACTAACTGAAATAAAATAAGGACCACTATTTGATAAATAGTGATTCAGAATTATTTATACAATTTGAAAATCTATCAGAAATTATGCTTCTAGGTGTTCATTACTTTGACTTACCTAGCCTTTTCAGAATAAATGAATCAAATAACAAATAAGTATTGAACATCTATGATATTTTCTGTAGTACTCCAACTCTCTCAATAATTTCTTTTAGTTATAAGATAAATAAGTACTTGGGATGTAGGTACAATATGATAACTATAAGTTAACACTGTTGTATGATAAATAAGGGAGTAGCTCCTAAGAGTTCTCATCACAAGGGAAAAAAATTTTTTTTCCTTTCTCTTTTTTTGGTATCTATATGATAGATGTTAACTAAATTTACTGTGGCAATCATTTTAGAATACATGTAAGTCACATGATTATGCTGTATTCCTTAAACTTATACAGTGTTTATGTCAATTATATCTCAATAAAATTGGAAGAAAAAAACTAATTTATCCCACAAAATATGTGTTATACACAAGGAAGAAAAGTTACCCAATTTACTCTTAATTATTATAAAATAAAAATGTATGGGCGAATACAGAAAATACAAATAAATTATATAAAAACTCCAACTGTTCACATTTATGTATATGGATCTGAATAAAGAAATTACCTGATAGAGCTATAGATGGTCAGTGGGGTTTGATCCTTTTCTTTGGCTATTCTCATCATATCTAACACTGCCATCCCAAGACATTCTTCCTGTGTTTCATGAGTCACAGGTACTTTTACCCATCCATGCAAAAAGTCATGCCGCCACTAAAGGAAAAAAAATTTAGAAGGAAATATCTCATAAGTCTCACATCACATTTTAATCGACTACCGTATTTTAATCCATAACCTAATTTCCAGAACATATACAGATATATTCTGTTCATGAGGATATTCTGTGGAACTCATGCCCAAAAGACAAGAAATATACAAAAAATCAGTGAGAGCAGTGCTAAGAACATAATCAACCAAATACCCATTAAAGGTACAAGTGAAATAGAGTCCCAAACGCCAAAGCATATTATTTTAAACTAGCTTTCCTTAAACATCACAGTATGTAACAATTAAAATTTCATTTAATTAAAACTGTAAGAAAAGTAGTTTTTCATCTGGGTAGCTGACAACATTTGAACCAAGAAATTTCATCTGCATTCAGCCAGAAAAATAAGAAAATAGTTACAGTCACAAAATAAGAAATGAACCAAAGAAAGAACATAACTTTTTTTCCTGAATATATATGAATTAATTAAAGATTGTTCACATGGCAGCTGAGTAGCCATATTTGATGACATAAAGACAATCTTCAGAAGAAAATGAATTTAGAAGGGAAATCTCACTTTTGGCTTTTATTTGCTTAACTTTTCCAAATCTATCTTTCTACAGTACTGTCTTACATCCTTTAAAGATAGTTTAGTGGCTGAACTATTTTGTAGCTTAGGAAGATGAAAAATGTTCTGGAGATAGAAGGTGGTGACGGTTGCACAACAATGGGAATGTACTTAATTAATGCCACTGATCTGTCCACTTAAAAATGGTTAAAATGGTAAATTTTATTAAGTATATTTTACCACAATTAAAAAAATAAGTTGGTTGCTCTCATACCGCAAAAGAAATATTTTTTAATTTGTTGCTCACAAACTTAACTAACCCTGATAGAAATCTTAGAAATGTGAACCACGAGGATCTGTGGCGTTATTTTCTCTGATATCAGCAAATCTGATTTAGAACTCCTTAATCTGACACTTTAGGGATACCAAGAGAACATCTTTATCCAAAAGCACTAACATCTTTTCTTTTCTTTCTTTAGTTTCTACTCCTCAGCCTAATAAACAAAACATTTCAATCACAGTTTAAATCAAGGTAACAGATAAGAAAGCACTACAAAATGTTCAAGTACACCACAAAAATTTAACATAACAGTATTAATAAACAAATAACTGGAACACAGCTCTCAGACTAAGTATCAAATCTAGCCACCCTCCTAGGAGGAGCTACACAAACTATTGTAGCTTAATTTTTATGCAGTTACCTACTTCTTTTACATTTCACTACCCAATATTTAAGTCTAAAATTTTTCAAGAATTAAAACAGCCTCTCTAAAGAAATTTTACTGTCTTATATTCCAGCCACTTATGTCTACATGAACCATGCTGTAAAACTCAGTCCAAACTTTGTGAAATCCTTAAAATGATCTAAAGGACTAAGATAAAAAAAAAGAAAATTCAAAAGGGCCAATTCAAGGAATCTTCATAAAATAGATTCTATTCTCCATAAACTTTGGGATTAAAAATTAGTGATAAAAAGACAATTTTGTTACCTCTCTGCAACTGCTATGCAAGACAGAACATCAATTTTCCCATATATGAAGATTTTTCTCATTAAGAGATACATTACACAGCAAGATATTTATCATTTAACACATGTACAAGTATCATTTAACACATGTACAAGTAAGATAATAATCATACCTGAGCAAAAAGGTAAGACATGACAAAGTCATCAAGAAGAGGAGCTTCAGCACCTCGAGATATTCCATGCCGATAGGTTCTGTTGCTGCCATTACAATACCAGTAAGGAAAGTAAAATCTACAAGACAATTAAAACATTCAGTCAGCCTCCAAAAAGATCAAATATAAACACAGTGTGTATATATATCCACTTCCATCATACTGAAAAGTGTTATCCCATTATCAGAAAACAAAGATAACAGTGTTTAAATACAAGCTTAGGACAAAAGGAAATATGGATAAGACTATTACAATAAGATACACAGAAAATACAAGAAATATAAATGTAAAATCAATATACTGCCTTCTGCCAGGTACAGAATGTAGAAGCAATAACAGGAAATAGAGAAATGTAGAAATAAAACATAAACAGGGGTTAATATCCAAAATATACAAAGAACTCATACATCTCAACAACAAAAAACCAACAACCCAATTAAAAAATGGGCAAAAGATCTGAACAGAGATTTCTCCAAAGAAGACATACGGATGGCCAACAGGTACTTGAAAAGATGTTCAACATCATTAACTATCAGGAAAACGCAAATCAAAACTGCAATGAGATATCATCTCACCCAGGTCAGAATGGCTATAATTAACCAGGCAGGAAACAACAAGAGTTGGAGAGGATGTGGAGAGAAGGGAATCCTCGTACACTGCTGGTGAGAGTGCAAACCGGTGCAGCCACTATGGAAAGTAGTATGGAGTATTCTTAGAAAATTAAGAATACATCTACCATATGATCCAGCTATCCCACTGTTAGGCATTTATCCACAGAACTTGAAAACACAAATGCATAAAGATACATGCACCTCTGTGTTCACTGCAGCATTGTTCACAATAGCCAAGACTTGGAAGCAACCTAGGTATCCATCAAGGGACGAATGGATAAAGAAGATGTGGTATATATACATAATGGAATACTACTCAGCCGTAAGAAATGATGAAATCTGGCCATTTGTGACAACATGGATGGACTTTGAGGGTATTATGATAAGTGAAATAAGTGAGAGGGAGAAAGTCAAATACCGTATGATCTAACTCAAAAGCAGAAGATAAAAACGACAGACAAACACATAGCAACAGAGACTGGACTGGTGGTTACCATAGGGGAAGGAGGAAGGGCAAAAGGGATGATTAGTCTCACATGTGTGGCAATGGACTATAATTAGTTTTTGGGTGATGCACACAAAGTAATTTACACAGAATTCGCTATATATAATGATGTACATCAGAAAGCTATTTAATGTTGAAATCCAATGTTACTGCAATAAACGAATAAAAATTTTTTTAATGTTAATCCAGTTTTATCCTTAGAGGAATCTGGAAATGCTCATTTGGTGTGAAAAGAAATAATTGCTTCTTCTTTTAAGAAATGGAAGTTAAAAACTTGTCTCAAAGAAACAAAAAATATTCTATATTGCTTTTTTATTTACAGCTTTATTGAGATATCTCACATACCTTAAAATTCATCCATTTAAAGTGCACAATTCAATGTTTTTCAGTATATTTATAGCATTGCACAAACATCATCACAACCTAATTTTAGAACATTTTCAAGTCTCCTAAAAGAAACTCCATACTCATCAGCAGTCCTAGCCAAATGACCCCTATCCACTCCCCAGTCCTAAGTTACCACTAGTCTTTCTAGCTCCATAAATTTGCCTGTTCTGGACATTTTATATACATGGAATCATATAATATGTGGCCTTTTCTACCTTCTTTTCACCTAGTGCAATGTTTTCAAGGATCATCCACATTATAGCATTTATCAATACTTCGTTCCTTTTAATTGCCCCTAATACTCCATTGTATGGATACATTACCTTTTGCTTATCCATTCATCACTTGATGGACATTTGGGTTGTTTCCATCTTTTGGCTAGTGTGAATAAATGCTGCTATGAATAGTCATGTACAAGTTTTTGTGTGTGTAGACATATGTTTTCATTTCTCTTCCACATACCTAGGGGTGGAATTGCTGGATCATATGGTAATTCTGTTTATCTTTTTGAGGAACAGTCAAATTGTTTTCCAAAGTGGTTGCACTATTTTATGTTTTACATTACAACAGCAACATATGAGCATCCCAGTAGTTCACATCCTTGCTAACACACAGGTTGAGAGTTTAGCTAAATCACTCCATGGTATTGTTGCCTTGACATCCATTTTGTTTGGCCAGGAGGCCTGCAGTGACCTTAAATTGAAATTAGCCCTCTCATGCAAGAGCACGCGTGAGATAGCAGCCTGCAGAGTCACAAGCAAATATAAGTTCCTGATATGACTTCACCAATAGTCCTTGTGATCAACAATCTTCCCAGACTCCCAGTGCCTAACTCTTATGCTCCCCTTCAATAAGATTCCCAAGTGGTTTACCAAAACCCAGCTCTTTTGGTATGAATTGACCAATCTGGCCTCTGCCGAGGAACCCCAAAGTACTCTACCCACAGATGCTAATAAAGGCATGTGCCCCCAGGTCCTATCTACACTCTGTCTTGACTTCCCCGTGTGGCCCCTCAAGGTATGCTGGGTACTTCCTCCAGGACCTGTGAGGACTAAACTTCTCTACTTCAGTTCCTCTTGTGGTCTGTTATTGAACTGAAGTTCACCACCCAGCAGCCTGTGCTACACTTAATAAGTATTAATTTGACGAATTCATAACAACTTGTTATTGTCCATCTACTTTACTTTTGCCATCCTAGTAGGTGAATTGGTATCCCACTGTGGTTTTGATTTACATTTCTCTAATGAATAACTATGTTAGGCATCTTTTCGCATGTTTATTGGCCATTTGTATGTCTTATTTAGAGAAATGTCTATTCAAATCCCTTGCTCATATTTTCATTGGGTTATCTGTCATTGTATTGTTGAGCTATAAGTGTTCTTTACATATTCTGAATATAAAACCTTTATCAAATATATGATTTACAAACATTTTCTTCAATTCTGTGGGTAGTCTTTGCACATTCATGACAGTATCATATGGTGCACAGACATATTTTGACAAATCCCAATTAATCTATTTTTTTGTTGCTTGACTTTTTGGTGCCATAGTGAAGAAACCATTGCCAAATCTAAGTACATGGAAGCTTTACTCCTATGTTTTCTTCTAAGAGTGTTATAGTTTTAGCTTTTAGATTTAGGTCTATGATCCACTTTAAGTTACATTTCTTTATATAGCGTGAGTTAGTGGTCTAACTTCATTGTTTTACATGTGAATATCCAGGTGCCCCAGCACCAACTCCTGAAAAGTATATTCGTTCTCCATGAATTATCTTGGCACCCTTGTCAAAAATCAATCACCAAGCACCCTATGTTCACTGCAGCATTATTCACAATAGCCAAGATGTGGAAGCAACCCACATGCCCATTGACTGATGAATGGACAAAGATGTGGTGTGTGTATATATGTACACACACACAATGGAGTACTACTCAGCCATAAAAAAGACAAAATTGTCCCATTTGCAACAACATGGACAGACCCTGAGGGTATTATGTTAAGCAAAATAAACCAGACAGAGAAAGACAAACACCATATGATTTCACTCATATGTGGAAGATAAATAAATACATGGACAAAGAGAATGGATTAGTGTTTACTGGAGGGGAAGGGGGTTAGGAGGTGGGCATAAAGGGTAAAGGGGTACATATATATGGTGATAGACAAATAATAATGTACAACTGAAATTTCACAATGTTATAAACTATTATGACCTCAGTAAAAAAAAAAAATCAATCACCATAATATGAGGGATTATTTTTAGACTTTCAATTCTATTCCATTAATCTCTAGGTCTATCCTTAAGCCAATACCTTGTATCTTGATTACTATAGTTGTAGAGTAAGTTCTGAAATTAGGAAGTATGAATTGTCCAACTTTGTTTTTTTTCAAGATTGTTTAGGCTATTCCAAGTCCTTTTGATTTATATACAAATTTTATGATTAACTTGCCAATTTCTGCAATAAAGACAGCTAGGATTTTAGTAGAAATTGCATTGAATATATAGATCAATTTTGGGAACATTGCCATCTTAAGAATATTATGTTTTCCATCCATAAACATGAGTCTTTCCATTTATTTAGGTCTTTCTCTAACTTCTTTCAATGACATTTTCTATATCTCAGTGTATAAGTTTACTTCTTTTGTGAAGTTTATTTCTAAGTATTGTTTTTTATGCTATTGAAATGGAATTGTTTTCTTAATTTCACATTTGGATTGGTTCTTGCTAGTGTATAGAAATACAAATGATTTTGGTATGTTGATCTTCTATCCTACAACCAGGCTGAGTTCATTTATTAGTTCTAATAGTTTATTAATTCCTTAGGATTTTTTATATACAAGATCATATCATCTGTGAACAGTTTTACTTCTTTTCCAGTATGGATGCCTTTTATTTCTTTTCTTGCCTAATTTCCCTGATTAGAATCTATGGTATATAGAAGTGGTGAGAGCAGATATCTTTGTCTTGTTTCTGACCTTTGGGAGAAAGCATTCAGTATTTCACCATCAAGTATAATACTAGCTTTGGGTTTTTCATAGATGTTCTTTACCAGACTGAGGAAGCAGCCTTCCATTCCTACCATGTTGAGTATTTTTATCACGATAGGGTGTTGGATTCTGTCAAATGCTTCCTCTGTATCTATTGAAATGATGACGTGGTTTTGGTTCTTTATTCTACTAATATGGTGCATTATATTGATTGATTTAAGGATGTTAAAGCAACCTTGCATTTCCTGGGATAAATCTCATCTGGTCAAGGTATTTAATCCTTTTTATATATTGCTGGATTTGGTTTGCTAGTATTTTGTTGAAGATTTTTACACCTATATTCATAAGGGATATTGCTCTGTAGTTTTTTTTCTTCTGGATGTCTTTGTCTGGATTTGATATCAGAGTAATACTGAACTCATAGAATGAGTGGTGAAGTGTTCCCTCCTTTTCACGTTTTGTGAACAATTGGTATTATTCTTCTTTACATGTTTGACAAAATTCACTGGTGAAGCCATCTAGGCCTGGGCTTTTCTTTGTGGGAAGTTTTTTTAAATTACTAATTCAGTTTATTTATTCACTATAGGTCTACTCAGACATTCTATTTCTTCTTTTGTACGTTCCTATAGTTTGTGTCTTTCTAGCCATGTGTCCATTTCATCTTGGTTATGTAATCTGTTAGCATACAGCTGCTCCTCATCATCTTTATGCCTGTAAGGTCACAGTGATGTTCTGTCTTATAGTCATGATTTTAATAATTTAGGCTTCTCTCTTTTTATCCTGGTCAGTCTAGCTGAAGGTTTATTGACACTTGATCTTTTCAAAAAACCAACTTTTGGTTTCTTGATTTTCTCTACTGTTTTTCTATTCCATTTATTTCTACTCTGATCTTTACTATTTCCTTCCTCCAACTTGCTTTGAGTTTAACTCACTCTTTTTTTTCTACTTTCTTAAGGTGGAATCTTATTGATTTGAAAATGTTTCTTTTTAAATATAGGTGTTTATAGCTATGAATTCCCCTCTAAGCATTGTTTTAGCTGCGTAAGTTTTGATATGTCGTGTTTTCATTTTCAGCCATATCAAAGTATTTTCTATTTACCCTTGTGATTTCTTCTTTGATCCATTGGTTATTGAGAAGTGTGTCGTTAACTACCACACATTTGTGAATTTTCCAGCTTTCTTTCTATTGATGATTTGTAATTTAATTCCACTGTGGTCAGAGAACATACCTTACATGATTTCAATCTTTTTAAATTTATTGAGACTTGTTTTGTGGACTAACACATGCAGAATTTCTATTCTAGAGAATGTTCCACGTGCACCTGAGAGGAATGTGGATTGTGCTACTGTTGGGTGGAGTGTTCTATATCTAGCTGGTTTATAGTGTTTTTCAAGTCTTCTATTTCCTTGCTGATCTTCTGTCAAGTTGTCCTCTCCATTACTGAAAGTGAGGTACTAAAGTCTCCAACTATTATTGCTGAATTGTCTATTTTCCCCTTCAATTCTGTCAGTTGTTGCTTTATGTATTTTGGAGCTCTGCAGTTAGATCCAATTTATATCAATTATAAACAAATGTTATTAAGTTTTCCTAATGGACTGACACTTTTATCACTATAAAGTGTCCCTTTTTTGTCTCTAAGAAACAATTATATCTTAAGGTCAATTTTGTCTGATATTAATATAGCTGCTCCAGCTCTCTTTGGGTTACTGAATGCCTGGTACCTCTTTTTCAGTCCTTTACTTTCAATTTACTTGTGTCTTTGCGTGTAAAGTATGCCTCTTATAGACAACATGTAGTTTATGTTTTGTAAATCTATTCCTCCAATCTCTGCCTTTTGATTTGAGTGTTTAATACATTTACATTTATTGCAGTCACTGTTAAGGTACTATTTATGTCTGTCATTTTGCTATTTGTTTTCGATATGGCTTATGTCTTTTTGTTCATCTGTTCCTCCATTACGCCTTTCTTTTGTGTTGAGGTATTTTCTAGGGTATTGTATTAAGTCTCTTGTTGTTTCTTTTACTATATATTTTTAGTTGTTTTCTTAAAAGTCTCCCAGGGAATTACAATTAACATTTTAACTTAACCTAGCCCTTATTAATATCAACTTAATTTCAATAGTATACAAAAACTTTGTTCTATTCCTTTTGTTCTATTATTGTCATACAAATTACATCATAAGTCCTTCAACACAGTTTTATAATTATTGCTCTTTTATGTTTTTTTGACATAAGTTCTACATTTGTAATAAAGGAAATGAAGACTAGCCCATGAACAATAGGCTGGTAGGATTTTTAAACATTACATAAAATCTCCTTTTGGGCAGTTTCTGGTTAGATTTTCCTTGGAAATTCTGACTATAGGTAGCTATGGGTATGTGCCCCTTTAACAATAAGAGGAATTCATGAATTTGATAGAAGAACCATTTTTAATTCTTTAGGTAAGGTCAGCAAACTATGACCCACAGGCCCAATCTGGTCCACTGTCAGTTTTGGGGTTTTTCTTTTTAAAGATTGGCACCTGAGCTAACAACTGTTACCAATCTTCTTTATTTTTTTTCTGCTTTTTCTCCCCAAATCCCCCTAGTACATAATTGTATATTTTAGTTGTGGGTCCTTCTGGTCGTGGTATGTGGGATGCTGCCTCAGTGTGGCCTGAGGAGTGGTGCCATGTCCGTGCCCAGGATCCAAACCAGCGAAACCCCAGGCCGCCGAAGTGGAGCACGCGAATTTAACCACTCGGTCATGGTCAGTTTTTATAAATAAAATTTTACAGGAATACAGTCATGGCCATTCATTTACTTATTGTCTGCAGCTGCTTTCATGCTGTAATAACAGAGCTGAATAATTACAAGAGAGACACTATGACCTGCAAAACCTAAAATATTTACTATCCAGCCTTTTACATAAAAAGACTGCAGATCCTTGCTCTACAGACATTTTAAAATAAAAAGATTCACTTGTTAAGTGAATAAAGTATACTGATTACAAAAAGTGATAAAAAAAATTCTTAAGATATTGATATTTCGTCAATCATATGTAGCATGTTAGTATGCTTCTTCAAACAATACACCTTTGTAAAGTCTTAAAACCTGCATAAAAGTCGTACATAACTTTGGATAGATTTACTCCTAGGTACCTTATTTTTTTTGTTATTAGCTGTTATTTGACCTCTTTTCTATTTGTTTGTTGTGTATAGAAATAGCTGACTTTTTAACATGTTGATTACATAGATCTGGCACTCTGTTGAATGCTTATTATTGATGCCTGCAGATTTGTTCGTATTTTCTACGTTAACAATCACATAATCTCCAAATAATGATTTTTTTTGCTTCTTTGTTCTTGATTACTAGACATTTTATTTATTTTTGTCTTACCATACTGGTTAGGAACTCCACTAAAATCCTAAACAGAAGCAGTGTTTGTAGCTATCTTGTTCCTGATTTTAAAGACATTGCTTCTAACATTTTACCATGTAAGAATATTATTTACTACATGTTTTTCATAGATACCTTGTGTACTAGTTATGACATCTCTCTTGAGTCTTAGTTTATTAAGGCTTCTTTTTAAAATCATGAATGATTTCATGTTCTTTTTTACTATGCAACACTGACTCTGTGCATGGAATGGATCTATTTCATAAGTAAGATCAAACTTATTTGTGTCATACTTTTGAGTAGAAGAGTACCTCTGGATTTCTCTAAATTGGTATTACATATTACCATTAATTAACTTATAATTTAAGGCTGTAAACAAACACTGGCAAAATCTTATTTTTCCTTCAACTTAAAAAAAAGTTATTGAAGAGATGTAAGATTAATTTTTATTGCACAAGACATCACATTTCCTGGGAAACTAGCAATATCCCAAACATGTACGATTTTGCTAGTAAAAACCATTCTCATCCTTTTTGAAATTTAACTATAATCACAAGCGATACAGTAGCATCCCACCAGAACAGCTTTATTTTCAGAGCATTCTAGTTAAAGAACATGTATGAACACTTCCTCTAGAGGAGAAACAGTCTTAAATTAAGAAGTTTAATGCTAATTGGTTCTAGTCTCTGATATTAAGTACCCTGCAACTAAAAAAAAATGTTTGATAATTTCTCCCACTTTGCCCTTTCACTATTAACTGAGTCACTTCACTGGAGAAAGTACCTTATTCTGTAGAGTACACTGTGCCTGGCTGATTCATCTATATGGAAGACATGGTTGGGGGGATACCAGATTCTTTCTGTTTCACTCATTAAAGCGAACATACTGTGATACACAGGTGTGATTCCTAGGAAAGAAGCAGAAAAGAAATGATTACGGTTAAAAGTATATTTACATAACATCTATAATTTGTAATGGGGCTGAAGTAACAAATCTTAAAATCAGCATAAAATGCAGTAGCAGTCGAAATCTTTTGGTTCAACACAATTTACAACTGAATTTTTAATTAAATACCTTTTTTCCTCTATATTTTAAAATATGATTGCTACAACTCTCTCAAGCAGATTTTAGAAAACATTTTATCTAGCTTCTTAAATTGTTCTCTACAGAAAGATTGATCCAAATTTGTGCGGGTTTTAATTGATAATGACAGTATCAAATAAAGCATTTAGAAATCATTGGCTTCTCTTAAGAGAACAATGAAACAGTTTTATTTTTTTATGACAAGGTTTACACAATACACTGGTAATTATATCCTCTGCAGTATTTCAATTTACAATGCAAAATTTTAAATGTCAACTTACAATGCAAGGATGTGATTTTTTTCAAAAATATTTTAGGAGGTACATTAACAAAAGGCTGAAGGTCACTAAACTTTTTAAAAAGCATACAGAACACCTAAGCCATATAATTAAATAATGCATATTATTTCCAAGCAGATATAGAACATTCACACATACACACACACGTAAACACATCAATCACGTGGAGACTAAAAACAAGTCTCCAAAAATGCCAGAAAATAACCATACATACCATGTTCTCTAACCAAACTTCAATTGAATCAGAAATGAATACTTAGAAAAAATGTTTTAATCCTACATATTTGAAAACGTAAGCCTCACAATAAAAACCACTTTTATTCTAGGGATGTTTTTATTCTTTTCCACTGTAGACAAAATGACACCAACTTGATACACTGACAACAAAGATTTAAAATTTTTATTTAAATTATTAACACAACCATCTACTCATAGATATGTAATAATTTCAGTAAGTTGCATGTTAAAACATTATCCAGTAACAACTTTTAAACTGTATCCTTTCATTCATTCCTATATTTACAAATACTTCTAAATATCTCACAGATCATAGGAGAAATTATAACACAAATTAAAAAAGCATTTATAATGAATGATGACCAATACCATATATTAAAAATTATGGAATATAACTAAAGTGATACCCAAGGGGAAAACTAGCTTTAATCTGCTTATATTAGAAAATAATAGAGAATGATCTAAGATATCTAACACAATACATTAGAAAACAACAGAGTAATCCCAAAGACAGTTGTAAGAAGGACATAATAAAGTAGAAGTTAACAGGGAATAATGATTCAATAAAGGGAATCAATGAAATAAAAGATTATTTGCAATGACTAACAAAATAAACAAGACTTTGTCAAGCCTGATCAAGAAAGAAAAAGAAGGCAGAGATAAACACTAAGGCATAGTATTTTAGTATTATTTTAAGGCATAGTATAGGTTATGAAGACAAAAAGACAGTGCCAGAATAAATTATGCCAATAAATTACAAAATGTAGACAAATTTTTTCAACTATGTAACTTTAAAAATCAATTCAAGAATAAAAAACTTCAAAAGAACTATAACCATTAAAGAAAAAATCTATCCACTTTAAAAAAAAAATGGAGAAGAGAGGAGGAAGAAGGAAAGAGAAAAAAGGAAGAATGAGAAAGAAAGGAAAAGCCGACGCTCGCCGTGGCATAGTGGTTGGGTTTGCTTGCCTGGCTTCAGTGGCCCAGGGTTCGCTGGTTCAGATCCTGGGTGTGGACCTACACACCACTCATCAAGCCATGCTGAGGCAGCATCCCACACAGAAGAACTAGAAGGACTTACAACTAGGATATACAACTATGTGCTGGGGCTTTGGGGAGAAAAAAAAAAAAGAGGAAGATTGGCAACAGATGTAAGCTCAGCACCAATCTTCCTCACCAAAAAAGAATAAGAAGAAGAAGAAGAAAGGAAAAACCACCATCAGATCCAGATGAAATTTATGAGTTCAATCAAACATGGAAGAAAACTCCAATCTTAAATATACTACTACAGAAGAGAAAAAGAGAGGACAGAGAAATTGACACATTTTGTGAATTCAGTTTGACTACGATACCAAAACCAGACAACGACATCTCGAAAGGATACTCTCACTTATTAAAATAGATAGAAAAATTCTAAACTAAATACTAGCAAACCAAATCAAGCAATGTTTCTTTTTAGAAGAACTATGACAAAGTTCACTTATCCTAAGAGAGATGGCTAAATTATAAAAATCTATTAATGTAATCCATCACAATAACATATTAGAGAAAAATCTGAAAATGGCAATAGGATAACTTTGAAAAGTTGGGTGATGAGTACATTGATATGCATTATATTTTTCCTATATGAAGTATTCCCTATAATTTTTTTTCTCCCCAAGTCCTACTACATGGTTGTATATCCTAGTTATAAGTCATCCTAGTTCTTCTATGTGAGCCGATGAGCTCACAGCATGGCAATTGACAGACAGGTGACATGGTTCCGCAACCAGGAAATGAACCCAGGCCACCAAAGCAGTGAGAGCACCGAACTTTAACCAGTAGACCATCAGGCCTGGCTATGAAATATTTTATAATAAAAAATCAGGACTAAAAAAGCAAAATAAAAAATGGCAAAATGTCATTCACAGTAGAGCAAATCAGTATGACTAATAAGCATGTGAAAGAATAGTAATAACTACTATTGAAGAAAATGCAAATCAAACTTATGTGATTATCACTTAAAAATAATAAGAGGAATAACATCCGATGCTAATTGAATTGTAGTGAAAAGGGTACTATGTTACATAATTGCTAGAAATGTAAACTGGTACAGCTTCTGAGAAAGCAGTATCTATATAATTTTGAGAAACGAATGTCAAGAAAAATCTAAAACAACCTTTCAATCCAGCAATCACTCCGATGTACTCCTAAAAGTGCAGTACAGTAGTAAGAAAAGAGAAAGAAAGAAAATGCAAATTCAAAAGCAGAAGATATGAAAAAATTATGGTAGTATAATCCATATTGTGTACTACTATGAAATTCAATAAAAAGAATGAGTTAGGGTAAAAGTAGTTTGCTTGAATAGATTTTTTACAATATATGTTTTCATGAGAAAAGCAAGAAGAACATGAAAGTATATAATAAGATTCCATTTTATAAAACAATGACCTCAAAATCCTAATCACTGTGTGTGTGGAAAGAAGGAGAGGGATCATTTGTCCATATATGATTACAGGCCAGCCTTGGCGGTCTAGTGGTTAAGATTTGACACTCTCACCAGGTTCATTTCCCAGTCAGGGAACCACACCACCCAGTCTGTCAGTTGTTATACTGTGGCAGCTACGTGTTGCTGTGATGCTGAAAGCTATGCCACCAGTGTTTCAAACGCCAGCAGGGTCACCCATGGTGGACAGGTTTCAGCGGAGCTGCCAGACTAGACAGGCTAGGAAGAAGGACCTGGCCACGCACTCCCCAAAAAAATCAGCCATGAAAACCCTACGAACAGCAGCAGAGCATTGTCTGATACAGCGCCAGAAGATGTGAGGAGGACACAAAAAGACTTGGCAGGGTTCTGCTCTGCTGTACACAGGGTTGCTAAGAGTCAGAATCACTTGATGGCACTAACATAAGATAACACGATCATGAAGAAAACTATGGAAGAGATTATTGCCCTAATTACCAGGATGAGACTAAGGAAAAAGGAAGGTAAGAATACAGTGGAGAAGACACTACTTTTTTTAAAAAAATGCATTAAATAAAAACAGTAAGCCCTCATGTCAAAAAGAAAGAAAAGTGAAAAGAAAAAGATAAAAAAGATACTAATCAATACCAAGATAAGGGTTCACCATGTAAATCACTTTGAAACTACAGAGAATGATTGCTTGTCATTCTCTAAACTTTAAAATCATCATAAGATGACAGGAAATAATGCCAATCAAATAATTTAAGAAATAGATATTTTATCTGAATATTATTTTGATCTAGGTTAATTCTGCATTAAAAATATTTTAAACTTGAAAATTTGAAAAACATCATCTAATCAATCAATTAGATAGCATCATAATCCCATATCTCTGTGCCTTGCACATACTAATTCTTTTATCTAGAAGTACTACCTCTCCTTTACCAACAAAAAGTTCACATAGCTGGTGTTCTCAGTACATAAGAGACATAGTGGGAGATGAAACCACCCAGAAAGGGACCATAAAAGACCTGATAGAAGATTACCTTGTAAAGAGAAAATCCTGGGAAGATAACCTTAACAAAAACCTAGCATATAGTTTAAATGTAATCATGCAAATAAAATTGTATATGGAACCATTATTCTTAGCATATGATGATAGAGATATTTTTTAGAACAAAACAATGTCATGATTTTAAAACAACATAATCACACAAAGCAGGAAAAGTGACTTATACTGATGAATCATCAGGATTTTTTTAAATGATGAATAGTTATCTCTAACATAAGGAAGACTCCATACATTAATTATAGATATCAAAATAGGAAAATGAACGTGTCCATATAAATTGGCACAAAGGGGTCAGAAAAAGGGGATACACACCAAAAGAAAAATGGTTAGGTCAGCCCTGCAAACAAACAACGACAGACAGTTCTTAGATTCATGTTTAGTCACATCGATATCTTATTCCAAAATGGTAATTATGTATTAGTAGTTATTTCATTTTTTCTTAGTAATTCATGTTAATTGGGTTGTCCTAGAAAGGAAGAAAAAAGCAGTGACACTGTATTTGAGGTATACAATATATTGAAAAGATAGGACCTCAAAGAAAGCTCAAAGTCATTTTTAATTCTCGCTCTTTCCTTATACATCAAGCCCAAATTCTTTTTATTTTTATTTATTAAAATCACTTTAATGTGTTTCTTTTCCAAGCCATTACCAGAATTATGATTCAGTTCCATATTGTTCTAGAGTAAGAATAGTCATCATTCCACTAATATTAACAATTCCTATTTTATAATAAGCACAAGATGGGTATGGGAAACACAAAAATGAAAAACAGC